GAGACACATCCCTCAGTGTCCCCTGTCCCCAGCCCCTGCCCATCACCCYGGGGCAGCTGTAGGGTTTCCTCTCACCCCACCAGGGCCCGGACCAGGTGTACGAGGGCATCACCTTCGAGGATTTCCTTAAGGTCGGTGACACCTCCGTGCCCCGGGAGGAGGGACCGGGGCGGGCACAGGGAGGGGKTTGGCCCTGGCCCCGCTCAGCCCCTGCCCCTGGCAGATGTGGCAGGGCATCGACATCGAGACCAAAATGCACGTCCGCTTCCTGAACGTGGACACCATCGCTCACTGCTACTGAGGACAGCAGCAGGAGGAGGAGGAGGAGGAGGAGGAAGAGGAGGAAGATGGAGGAGATGGAAGAAGAAGAGGACCCAGGAGCAGCTCCATGTCCGGGCTCCCATCTCCCCGGCTCCATCCCGCCCTCTCCACTCTACAAACATTAGAGGCTTTTATCTGTAATAAAAGATATTTCTCTTTTTAGTCCTCGCTGGGAACTGCTCCCTCCATCCATCACTCCACGGTGGAGGTTTCCCCGAGCAGAAAGCCTCCAYAAATCCAGGTTTCCCCATCAATCTGGATTTTTGGCCTCTGCCATGTGCTGCTCTGGGGAAGGAGCTGATCCCAGGCYGTGGGATGGGGATGCTGTGGGGCAGGAGGTGAAGGCAGAAYCCTAAAAGGACAACCCCACCCCACAGTGCATCCTGCAGTGATGGTGGTGGCAGTAACACGAGGAATATTCCCAATTCAACCCCAAGCCAGCCCCCCTGGCTGGAGGAGCCTGGAGCAGGCAGCAGGGATACGGGAACACAGGAACACGGGAATGCAGGGACGTGGGCTCCTGGCAACCAGGTGGCTCCTGCCCCCACATGTTCCCGCACGAAGGAGGCACCGGAACGGGGCGTTGTTTACCGGCGTTGATAACGGGATGGCTCCCGGCGGGTTCCGATATCTGAGGCGGCCTGAGCCGGGCACAGAGGGAGGGAGGGAGGGGGAGAAAAAAGGGCAATGACTATTTTTAGAAAAGCAGCGAAGATTTATTTGTTTTATCAAAAAATAGCTTCCCCTGGTGGTGGGAACAGCCCCTTCAGCACGGCCGGCAGCGCCCGGGGCTGCGGGGAGCTCTGGGTGCGGGGMCCCGAGGGCACCCCCTCCGTCCCTGGGGCACCCAGGGCATCCCTGCCCCGAGCACCGGCCCTTCCTCCTTCTCTGCCACGTTATGGGGTCTCTGCTCTGCTCTGTGCCACCCCGAGGGTGCGGTCAGGGCTTCCCTCGCAGGGTCTGTCCCCTCCAAAGCCCCCGGTGTCCGTTCGGAGCCGCTGGAGCCGCTCCGGGAGCTGCTGGCCAAGGACAGCCCTTCCCCGCAATGCAGGGCTGGCCTGGACGGACCTGCCCSGCTCGGCAGCACCGCGGGCAGCCCGGGATGGAGCCTGGGATGGAGCTGASCCCGGGAATGTCCCGCAGAGCCGGGAATGCGGGGCTGGTGCGGGGAGCTGGAGCTGGGCTGGCGGGGAGAGCCGGGGCTGGATGGGGGCGCTGGGGATAGAGCTCTCGGCGGTCCCGGAGGAGCCGCTCGGGCTCCTGGGGCTGCCCCACGGCCCCGCAGCCCAGGCTGGGTGGGCAGGGCTCTGGGATTCCCATCGGGATCTCCGCTGGCTCCTCCGGGCGCTCCCATCTCCCTTCACCACATCGGCACCGCCCGGCGAGAGGAACCTCCCCCTCCCCCGCCTCCTCCTCCTCCTCCTCCTGAACCTCTCCTCATCCTCCTCCTCCTCCTCCTCCTCCTGCCTGCGCCAGACCCTCGGCGCTCCCTCCCCACCCCAAGCACACGAGGGCACAGCCTCCAGCTCCTCCCCGAATCCCCAGGTTTCCGCAGCCAACCCAGGCTCCTTTCCCCGTTTTCTCACGGAAATTCCCCCCCAGACGCTGTAGGATTACCCYGCTCCCGAATCCTGCCAGCTCCGTGCTCCCAGCCACAGCCCTGGGTGTCTGAAAGGTCCTTTTCCATTCCCAAATTTCCCAGCTGGGGCTGCAGGGGTTGACACAAGATCTGGGTCCCACTCCCCTCCACACCACGATTTCCTTGGAGGAATCATCCCAGAGGATCCGCACCAGCCCGGGCTAGAGACGCCCTGCAATGCAGGAGGACTGAGAGGATTGATGAGAGGATAATTATCATCCCTSGAGCTAATTAACTGTCCCCTGGATATTCTGTTCAGTGGCAAGGAAAATGTGGGAGTTTGGGAAGCAGAGGCAGCGCCCAACACAAACTGGCTGCAGGTTTTGCCATTGCTCACATCGGGAATTCTCCGTGGGAAATGGGATCGAGTGAAGGGCACATGAAAGGGTGGGAGAGGGGAAGTTAATCCCGATCCTCAGCCCAGCAGAGGGATGGGGATGAGGCTGGGCAGGAGCATCGCTGCCATGGCCAGCACAGCAGGGTTGGTGTTACACACGGCAAAACCCAGCGAGATGAGGAGAATAATCCTGCAAATCACAGGAAAATCACAGGAAAATCTGGCAGAGCCCCGGGAAACCTGGCAAGGACAATGCTTCTGCCGCAGCAAAATCCTGCAAARGCTGGAGGTTCATCCATAAAGGATAACTGCTCTGCTGTGGATGCAGAACCCTGGGATGTGGCTCTGGGGCAGATCCCAGCGGGATCTGTGGGGTCAGCAGAGGGTAATGGGAACATTGAAGCCGCTTTYCCACATCTTGGAAAATCCATTCCCCCTGGATTCTCCTGCATAAACGAGGATTTCAGCTGCTCATGGGGCCTCCGGGGACTGCTGCCCCAGCAGGGACCAGTCCAGAGATACCTGCGGGGACTGGGAGGGGCTGGGGGACACCATGGACCAGCTCCAGGGACCTGGAGGGTTTAGGACCATCCACAGAAGGTGGAAATGAGCAGGCAAATGTCACTGGAGGAAAGGAGGGGACACAGAGGGCAGGAATGAATTCTTGCACTTCAGTGCACTGATATCCACCCCTGTGTGCCAGCAGTGGGCAGGGAGTGACAGGGTGGGCAGGGCAGGAAAGCAGAGGCTGAGTGGGAAAGGACACAGGCTGGGAGAGGAAGGGGCTCAGAGAACCCCAGAGTCTCTCTCTGCATCTCCTCCTGCCTCTCCTTGGCTCAGGACAGGAATGGCAGCCCCCAAAACCCCAGAACGGCTCTTCCCTCACTGCCAAGGGGGTTGAGGACATAAAACAGAGATCCTTCCTGGGGCAGTGCTGGTGGGCTGACCCAGGAGCAGAGGAGGGGCAGTTCCAGCAGGGCTCTGCAGTTTCCACTGGAGCTGCTTCCTGCGGCCAGAGCTCCGGGGCTGAGCACAGCAGAGCTGTGACACACACAGAGCTCCCCTTTGATCCCACATTCCCTTGGGGCAGGGATCCATCCCAGCAGGACACAGACACCCCTTGGGGCAGGGATCCATCCCAGCAGGACACAGACACCCCTTGGGGCAGGGATC